CAAAAATCACTCCTTTTAGAGCCTTCCCTTGATACACTCCTTGGAAAACAGAGAAGCCAGCTCACAAGTGTGGCCACAGTAACAGCCCACAATCATGGACAATGGCAACAGCAGGACTACTCTTGTTGCAGCTCTAGTCTTGGTCTCTCACAACTACCAAGTTGAAAGACCAGCACCTGCATCTTGACCCGCAACCTTTAACAAAACAGTTAAAAGAAAAAAAAGGGAAAGGAAGATTTTCTTTAAACATCTTTTTACCATTAAACACTTCAATAACTTGCTCGAGGGTTTCTAGGGATATTCCACTGTATCCTTTGGCTAGGACATTGATTCTCAGTGCCAAGAGCATGCGAGTTCTCTCTGGGGTCAAAGGTTTCCCCACACCTGAAACAGTAACAGAACCCCCTCGGTTACTCACCCGCTACCAACAAGCGCAGAAAAGGGAAACACCAAGCAATCTCTCATTACCTGCAGAATGTGAACGAACCAAGTTCACTTGAAGCTCCCTACAGAAAAAAAGAAAATATGTTAAACCTCAGAAGAAGTCTCATCAGGTTTGATTTTGCACAAAACAGAAGGAATTTCTGAAGTAGCTCTCTCATTTAACCCCAACTACAGGGTCAAACTGCTCCCTCCACTTCCTTTCCTGAAAAGAAAGGACAGGGAAGGCTGCACACACAACATACCTCAGATTGCTGTTTGGGATTACAGTCCTGGCAAACTTTCCAAAACCCGTGGTGATTCCATAAACAACTGCAAGAAATGTACACTGCTGGTAAAGGAGGGAACCTGATGAAGTCTTCTAAACAATTAGTAGTTTAAAGCAAAAATATTTACCTGTCTGTTCCTTTACGATCCTTTCAATCACTTCTCGTGATTTTTTGACTTTAGTTTCAGCTTCGGGTGTGAGCTAAAACAAGAGTAGTTTAAATATTATTTTATTTGTCATTATTTAGCTGTGGAAAAATAAACATATAATTTTTAGTTGTATTTGTCCAGAATTTTTACCTTTATCTTGTAGAGTCCCTTTCCTAAATTGACCAAGTCCTCCGTTGTTAAGCTGTTGCCATCTAAAGAAATATACTACACCAAAGAACCACCTTTTAGTTTGGGATATGGATACATACAAAGTTACTTAATAACCACTATAAATAAAAAATACAGTCACAACTCAGCAATGACAGGAAGCTGCTTCATGCTTATTCATAAGACAGGAACTCGGGTAACAAAAACATAATAAGCACATTGTAATTTTGTTTCCTAGACCCAGCCAATCTAATAGCCCCTGCTTTTGTGAAATGCTGGCTGAACTCTAAGCATTTTCTGGTGAGTAGCAGGATTTGTTATTGAGTTGTAAAATCATTGGTGATTCTTACCTGTTCTGGTTCTCGGTATTTGCTGTATCTGAAAGTTTTGTAAAGGAAAAAGGGCAGACAGGATTTCACAGGCAGTGACCACTCAATTACACCTGGCAATGTGTTTTAAGAATGAAGGAACCCTAAAAAATGCAGGAAATCTAGAAAATTATAAATCTATAACTGTAAAAACTTCACAAAGCACTCAAAAAGGATACAAATGAACCCCTTCTGGCTGAGATGGTATGAAATCTGGAGACATTATATCTCCTTCTATAACTAGAAGAAATAAGCAGAATAAACACATACAGGTTTAAATTGCATTATTCACATAAGTTAATTTGCTATTTATTACAATTCACAGTAACAAGAATTCTAATTTCCAGTTATCAGTCCTGAACATACTTGCATGCTTCTGGGAAAATAATAAGGAACTATGTATTTATTTAAGATATTCCAAAGGCTAAGGCAGAACAGCTTTCACTATATATGACAGCAGATACAAGAGATATATATATATTGAATCCTGTACCTTCTAACTTTTCTGTAGTTCTGTAATTTAAAAATTAAATATTCTTAAATTATTGGGCATTATTCCATAAAAGCTTGTTTATTTACAAAATCTACAAAGGTAGACAATCTCTCAGGTGCAATTTTAGATGAATCTAGATAAAGCCACAGTTTGCTGACTCAGATGACAACACAGACATTCTACAATGCAATGCTTAAGACTTTGCTTACCAACTTCAACAAATTCATTGTCTTCCAGAGCATCCCCCACGGTATCATCAAGATCCAGCAAGCCAAGTCCCTTGCACCTTCGAATGTAAAACTTGACTTCTTCCACTGAGGCAAATCCCCCGTTGTCGGGTTTGTTTTTCATGTAGCGTCTCACAGCTTCCTTCCCCAGCCACTCGACGGTGTTTGTGGAGCTCAGGCATGGCACTGCCAGCCACTCTCCTCGGACGTGCACCGTGTACCTCGGCATGCTTGCTCTCCTGAAATTGCTCCTTGACCAAGCAGGGCTGCAGCGTGCAGCAGCCTCACATTTACCGTGTGATGATGGCCTGAAGAGCTGTGCCTATCTAGAGCCCAGTGTTGCAATCAGATAGAAGCAAAAATCCACCCTCAACATCCTCACCTTTGTAAATAAACGAGATCAATGTGTTCGGCTGACTTTGTCCAATCAAACCAAACCCAGGGAACACACCCTTTTCACAGAAATGACACACCTCCCTAGCTATTGCCACAGGAATTTTATTCCAAAGATCACATCAGGAATACAGAAATGAAAAACCAGGAGCTGAAATTTATGTACCAGGAATGGATAAATTGGACAAAGATGCAGTGCAACTGTTCTAAAAATGCAAGGGTTTAATAAGAGCTAACAGCTATTGTCCAGGAGCAAATCACACTAACAAAAACTGAGGGGCAGGGCTGCAAGAGAGGCACCTTAGGAATACGGGTTGCTCATGACTGCTAGGACTGAAAGAGGATTCTATTACACTTTTACAGCTCTATCCAGAGCAGGATAAAAGCAGGTAGTAGAGGCAGCAAGCCTGCTTTAATCAGTCCCATGCTCAAGTTGAAAACACATTTTTTTATTGTAGGTAAGAAAAAGATGAATTAATTTCTACAACCTCTTCCCTTATGCTGTGGAAGATGTTACAAGAACAGTTATCAACAAACACTAGGCCACAGCTGCACACTATCAAGCCTGGTGCTGCTGTGTCATATCTTTGCAGAAGATGCAAAGATATGGAGATAGCTGTTGAGATGGTGCCAAAAAAAAGTTTAGCAATAACCATGTACACACAGAATTTGAAAATCCTTCTGGTTTTAAAGGCAAAATGGTAACAACTCACAGTCTATGCTTCCCACACTAGTGGTCCCAAACAAAGGGACTACCTAGGATTTAATTATTGTAGGGAATGTTATATAGGGATCCATCAGTCAGGGACACTGTCCCTGCAGAGCTACCTAGGACCATGATAGAGAAAGCCATGCCTGACAAAATTTTCTTTTTTCTGACTCTGAAGAGTCAGAAAGACTCAGCAAGAAACCAGGATTATCTGGCAGCAGGAACTCTAAGTGCCAAAGCACTGTATATGATACACGGGCTTTTACAACACAATGCAAGTTACCCCAAAACTAGTGACAGAAGGCATTTATAAACCAAGGACGGTTTTCATTGCAATCTGATAACTCCAACCAGAGCCTGTTAACATCAAATATCCCCTCCTGTGACCAGAGCTCAAGCTCACATATAGAGCTGGGGGAAGAAAGAGGAAGCAGGGAGACGTTTGGAGCCCCGAGTAACCCGGCTCTCCCAGAGATGGCTGAACACCTGCCTGCCCATGGGAAGCACTGAATGAATTCCTTGTTTGGCTTTGCTTGTGGGTGCAGCTTTTGCTTTATCTGTTGAACTGTCTTTATCTCAACCCATGAGTTTACTCACTTTTACTCTCCCAGTTCTCTCCCCCATCCCATCCCATGGGGGAGAGAGTGAGTGGCTGTGTGGGGACCCAGTCACTGCCTGGGTTTAAACCACAAGCTGAAAGCTTATACGGATCAAAACTGAAGTAAATCAGCTGGCAGGCTCCTCTCTCGTCCTAAGTGCCCGATTTAAACTGAGCCTTTTGCCAGGATTATACTGCCACTCTTCTCCCCTGAACCAGCACTTTCTGGTTTTGTTTGTCACTCCTTGATATGGGTTATCCCTATGCCAACAGATTTAATTTATGCAAACTGTTCTTATCAAACTCGCTGGAAGACTCAGCCTAGAGATGGCAGCATTTGCCACAGCATCATCTAAACCACTGGCTGGAACTGCTGCAATAAATACAGGAAAAACAGAAACAGCTCTCCCACTGTTTTTGAACTTATCTCCAGTTGTTATATGAGCACGAGGGGTAGTGCCCAGAACCAGTTAAAAAATCCAAATATCAAAAGACTCAAACTGGGTAAGGAAAGACTTGGGCTTTAGCCCCCTCTACAATAATAAGTTTTGAAAATAAATAGTGGGTTGAAAAAACATTTTGGTCTCCATTGTCCTCTTGGACTCATAATAAAAATTTCTCCCACAAGAAAGAAGAATAAATAAAACAAAACTATTAAATCAAAACTTTTTGTACAGATCAATACACAGACAAGACAGACAAGTATGGAGTGAAAAGATTTATTTTTTATTCTTTAGGTACTTGAAGTTTCAACCACTGTGCTATGGAAAAGAATGCTGTGCACAAAGAGCCATACCATCCATCTATTAATTTTCCAAGTTCTTCAATTCTGTCACTGACAAATGACCACATCTCAGAACAGTTTTTGTGTATTCTAAAAATGCCTGTAATCAAAACATTCTCTCAATTCCAGAGATGTAGCAATTTTGCTGCTTTACTTGGAAATGCAAAATAGAAAGTGCAGGAGAATGGACTGCAAGCAACCTTGCCCCTGATGAATTACAGCAGTGCTAATTATCAAAGAGGAAGAACTGCCTTGCCCTAAATGGGACATGGCTGTGTCCAATGAGGATGGGTGTTATAAAAGAGTAGGTTAGCTGGTCAAGGGGGAGAGGCAGAGAGACAGAAAAGGAAAAGGGTTTTTTTTGGTTTTTTTTTTTGCTGGCCCTGCTGTGCAGGGCTGCTGATGGGGCCTGCTGCAGTCAGAGTCTGCAAGGGCAGCCTGCAGTCAGAGTCTGGGAGTAGTTGGAGTCTGCTGGCAGTGCTATCTACTGCAACAGTACTGAACTTGATTTGGAAAATTAATTTTAAGTTACAGAAGTACCAAAGCAGCAGAGCATTTTAGGGTATAATCAAGCACACATATCAAGAGTTTGGGCAACCAGTCTCTTCTTTCAGCAACACAAAATCTCAAAGAAATAAGTACACTTGTCACTGGTCCTGCTTCAAGTCTTTGCCCACGAGCATTGAAGTGACAGGGTGCATAGAGGCCCTATGCTCCAGAAACGTCTTGACAGCCAGATCCCGACTCTTGTCAAAACCATAAAGGTCCCTGTAAAAGAAGGAGTGGGGGGAGGCACCATTACAAAAACCCAGGCAAATAATACAACAGGGATTTTCCTAAGGTTTTACTTTTCCCTCAAAAGCCTTTCCTTAATGTGCATCCTGGCACTAAGCTCTTTTCTCTGAAAAAAAATGTCAGCAAGTGGAAAGCGCCTCTGAAGATAATCTTGTTCACAGTATACAGAGAATTCTGTGTTATGCCACTTCAACATATACAAGAAATGCATTTCAAGCATTATTCATCCCATTATACCAGAGATGTCAACAGCATGAGCTGCTGTGACTTGGAGATTAGTTTTACCTGAACAATGGTCGAGTAAACTTCATCCTGCCCTGATCTGTTGCCATTTTTAAAGCCAGAGGAATAGCTGCTTCCCACTTGGACCTGATACAGAGGCGCAGCCATCTGCAGAGGGGAGAAGGTTGCACTTATAATTTCATTTGTGGCAGTGTGGTGGTTGGTTATCTAATGATTCTGTTCCCATAAATGCTTTGAGCACTGCTGTGTCATCATGGGAATGAGATTCTAGCTCAACATCAAATATTTAGTGTTTGACTAGCACATTACATACATCAGCTTTTTTGTACAACAGGAAAAGATTGCAGCCAAGTTCCTCCAAAATGGAGGATTATTTTCTGCAGCTATTTATTTTTTATATTACAATAGTGTCCAGCTGCATCACTCAGAACTGAACTGTACAGCACTTGTTCCATTTGTCCAATGGATAAAACAACCAACCAACGAAATGAAATTGAAACCAGCTATTATTTTGCTTTAAAAAGAAATTGATCTTGTTACAAGAAGTAGAAACCATACAATATGTTTAACCTTTGTTATCAGGTCATCAGGTTCCTTTGCTAGCATGCCAGATTAAAATAAAGAACAGCTTATCTGCTGTCCACTGAGTTCTTCTACTAGAAGACTGTATTTGCCCAATTCATGAATAACAGGATACCAAGCACAATGCCTGCACATGCATTAACAAAACCACAACAACAAAACCCCAAACCCAAACCCTGCCCCAGTTCTCTAAAACAGGATGTCTTAGGTGAAGCAGGACAACTTGTTTTATGAAAACATTTAATATTTTAGAAGTGCCCATACTAGAACAAACCTGAATCTTATTTCAGAGTTGTTTATAGCATTGAAGTCATATACTTCCTGCATGCGTTGGACATGTGACAATGGAAGAGGCTCCTGAAAAAGAAATTGCACAGTCAGAATAAGCCAGAGGAAGACTTCAAGCCAGACATTTCAATAATAAACAGAGTAATTCAGGATGATGGGTGCTACAAAGAAACTCAAGTCCTACCATTACAAATATTTTATTTGTTCCTTTTATCTTTCCAGTGCATGGAAAGGGGCAAGGAATAAATATTAGCTAATTCCCACATTCTGTACTTTTGAAACATTCAAGACAAGGTATTTTTGTTCAATTTTATTTATAGCTTATTTGCTATAACGTTTGATACAGACCAATTCAAACACCTCATGGTTTTGGTTTTAGCTTTCAATCCAAAACACTTTGTGTGTTGTTCAGTAGTTGAAGAGCCAGACATAATAAGAGGGGCAAGGCTGAAGTTTTCAATAACTATGCATGGTGAAAGCAGATTAATTTAGCAAAACCTAAAGAAAAAAAGTAGCTTAATTTCAAAGCACGTTAGAGCTTCTGTGTCTGCTTTTGTGATACCAGAATCAAGTCATCCCAGGTGTGCATTTACCTCCAGAAGCAACAGTGCCAGGAACTCAATTAACTGATGAGATGACATTTCCTTCAGGTCTGCTGAGCTGAATGAGCCCAAATCACTTTCTTTTGCCTAAAAGAGAGCAGTTACTTAATTTTTCATAGGTATTTCAAAATACAATCAGGTGTTTTTTTCTGGTTTGATATCCATACTGTTGTGCCATTTCACTTAAAGAAGATACCGATCTGTGCAATAAGGGGAAGGGAGGGACTTCAGCTGCTCTCTGATGTTTGTATTCTTCACTTATTTTCTCTCCACTGATCTTTTTATCCCCACTGCCTTTCTGTTAGTTAAGTGAAAAATCAAATACTTTTTTATAAAAAGTAACATTAAGGAAAAGAAAGTTAAAAGATAGGATGCAAGTACAATGAAAAGCTACAGAGGCAACAAAAGCAGGGTGTGCTGAATTCTCTATTAGTTGCATGACTTTTATGCTTCAAACTAAGAGAAAATTATGTGGTATTAATTAATATACTTTATGTACCAGTTTTTGATGGGAAATACATACTAACCCCAGTATACCATAGAGAAACAACTGCTAATACAATATAATCAGTAATGTAGAGGTACCCTGGCATTTGTTTTTGAATTGAGCCATAATATCAGGGTTTAAAGAGTATTTTCCATTTGGTTACTACATTTGTATAACAAGAAGTTGGCTCTGTGCCTTGTGAAAATATGGACTGCACTTCACAGACAGAAGTCACAGCTAATCCCCTGACTCTACATTGAACATCTAGTCTGGGAAATGCAAAATCCCTGGCAGCCATACTGTGACTATAAATACACACACTCTCAACAAATGAGATTTTAGAAGAGAATGGCTCACTTTGTATAACAAAAAATACTAGCTTTTCAAAATAGAGACACTTCAGCATTCTTTAACCACTCACTTGGATCCATCTTTGGCTCAAGGCAATGCAAGCATTTGATAGTGTCGTATCATACCTGTCAAATATTAAAAACAAAGGTTCACATAATGGAATAACCACAGAATAAAAGACTGAAAACATTAACAGTGACTATTTTTACTGCTATATACACCTACATAGTACTAGAGCATTTTCCAATAAAACATAAGATTTTCACCCTGTTTACAAACTGCTTCATGACTTTTAGGAAAATCACATGCAATCTGGAGAAGGAAAAGATGAACTACAGAAGAGTGCAGCTTACGTAGGCTTCACTGGTGGCATTCCTGGAGCATGAAACCACGAGTTCCAGTCAACTTTATCAAGAATATCTACCTACAAAGCAACATAAAATCTTATTAAATTTTAAATCTGATTTTAGATTTTTTTTTGAGAAAACGAAATCTAGTTTCAATCTTATTTGTTTTGATAACACTCCTCCAATTACATGAAGAATCCTACACAGATTACTTCAAAACAAAGCATTGCCCTCTACAAAAAGAAAAAAAAAAATAAAAGGCATCTTAATGCAAACCCATCTTCACAAGGTACCAGATTACATCATATTAAGTTCTTGAAATAAAGAAAAGAAATATAAAGAACTGGTATTCAAATAAGTTCTGACCTAAGTCAGAATTTCACATAATTAAAAGGTTTCAAGCAATCAGTTTTAAATGTTACCCAACCTTATCCTTGAAGTAGGAGTACAAGAACTTCTTCCAGTCCTCCGTTACAATGCTCTTATAAGCAAATGTCTGAACATAAGCCTTCAAGAAGCCAATGAAGACATCTAACAAAAAAGAAAACGTTTTAGTGCTTGAAATTAAGGTGGAAAACAAAAACATATAAAATCTGACTAATGCTTACCTGGTCCTCCAAGGAGCTGTTCCAGGTAAAAAAGCAAAGCAAAGCCTTTCTCATATGGCACAGATGAATAGGCAACATCAGGATCTACTTCATCCAGGTTAATGACAAGGTTAGTTACAGGATTTTTATCTCCAAGAGTATTTATCTGTGTCAAAGACACAAGAACACATATCAGTCTAGGAAAACTGGTGCTCCTGCAGATCTGTACTAATTCTATTTATAAAGGTATAAACCATCCAAAACGGAGACAGCTTCATTTCAAAGCATTCTCTTTCTTTTTCTGAAGTTCTGAATCTTCACAAATCTTAAGTTACTAAAATTTAGAATCAACCACCTTGTGCTCCAGCTGTCTCAAAGCAGTTACTTACTATCATGTCTGTCATAACCACGAGCACCTATTAGTCTGGCTATATTTATCCCTTATTAACAAACTATTTGAACTACTTTGATTTGAACTATCATTAAGCCTTTGAATTTAAAATCTCTGTTGACAGAAGAAATGCCAGCAAAACTTCAGCTCTGGATATGGGCAGAACAAATTTCAGGCTGCTCAGGAAACTAGTAAGATATCACAGACTAGAAATCTGAAAACTAAAAACAAAACACGAAACTAAACAACTCTCTTAGACAGTAAGAAATCAGTTGTTTGCATGAGGCACTGGAAATTCTGATGGTCATGGCTGCAGATAATTTTGATTAACATTCAGCTGCTTACCTGTATGCTAACAGGTAATACTGCAATTTAGTCATACCCAGAACAACCAGAAGAGGCTGGAAAGATGTTTAGCCTCACAGAAAAGCTTAAAACAATTCAAAAAGCTTTATCTAATCTGAGTATATGAAGCTATTCTCTTGGGTAGCAATCAAACATCTTGGAATCAAAGTTGTTCATCCTCTAATAAGAAAGCATTAGGAAAGCTGACAAGACAAATTTTATTTGTGGGAAACACGTATGATGACTTGAAAAGTATTTACCGAGTTCTGCAGTTCTCGCCAACCTCCCAGGGCCTGGAAGTGCCTGAACTGCTCACCAAACAACCGGCCACCGATCCTGCGCTCCAGGTACACAGTGTGACCCTCATTCAGCCTGCAAACACACTGATGAAGTCAGCACTGGCAGGATGGTAAAATCAATTTAGCCAGTCTCTTGACAGATTAAATTTAAAATATGATTTGCATGGCATTGAACATCATACCCACCAAAAATGCTCCCATGTTTTGTTGGTTACCAAGTTTCCTGTCCAGCTATGAGAGATTTCATGCGCAATAACCTAAAACACAAAACCAGATCCACCATGTAGACTCCTCTGGGAAAAAACCATCAGATCCCAACAGAAAGAACAAAATGTTGATGGGATCTCATTTGCCATGTTATGTTCAAAAAGTCAGTTAGCATTCATAGTTCTGTAGACCTATCCATATGAATTTTAAGCAGAGGACCAATGCTACCCTAGCTGACAGAAACAATTTTCAATGTCCGGCCTGCAAGCCATAGAGCCATACTGATCAACAGCTTGGTGTAGGTAATTTGTTCATGAAATCACATTTCAGAATACAGAATACCAGGTGATGGACTAGTACTGCTTTCTCACCTAAGCAACTTCTGCAGTGGGAAAGCTAATGATGCATGATACATTAAAAAGTATCTATGTCAAATATTTCAGTATTCTTTGTTTAAGACAATCTTTTTTTTAAAGTTTAGCAGTACATCAGTCTAGTAAAAAGACATAGGCAATAAAATTGCATTCAGAGTAATCAACTTTGCAGAAAAAAAAGACACATAGAGGAAGAAGTTATCTCCTAACGATTTTGATGAGGCCAAATCAGTTGAGATTTTTAAACACATCTGTACACAGATGTTGTGGTTTAACAGGACAGGAAAAGAGTTATGGAGCAGCTAACCTCAGTCAGCGCCCTGTGTATACAGGCACCCATGTTACTTCCATCTGTTGGTTATACAAAATAGATGCTTTACAGAGTTTACTGAAAATTAACACTCACGTTTGTGAGAGTCCTTGACTTACTGCCTTAACTTTTAATTTCCCCAATGAAAAGAGATCAAGTTTACAGGTATTTATTATAAAGGAATTCAGATACATCTTCAAGTTGTGTTCTACTTGAAGAGATGAATATTTTTGACTTACGTTTGATAGAGATCGATCACCTGCCTAAAAAGAAAAGGGAAAGACAAGTTAGTTGTTAGGTTCAAGTCAGCCTCAAAATAGATCACTTCATGCAATTTCTTGTATGATCCCTAACTCTAAAGGAGGAAGGAACATTTACAGGTCTTTCTAGGAAGAAGACTAATCTTCTTCCTAGATTTGTGCATTAATATCCATCACCTAATTCATATGCAAGCCCTAAGGAAAAGCTGACTTTTATTGCTGCTATACTCACCAGTAGCGTTGGAGTTACAAAAGTAAGACAGGGATTCTCCATACCACCATAAGGAAAAGAAGGTGGTAAGACTAACAAATCATACTGTCCCCACACATAAGGTCCTGCCAAATCTTCTGCTGTTTTCAGCATAGCTTCAGCCTGAAAAAAGAATTCACATTAGTTTCTAAGATGATTTTTGACTACAAACACTGAACAAATAATAAGCTATTGATCCCATTTTTCATTCCCTTTCACCTGGACAAGTCCCACATGTAAAACAAATATGGGACTCTATCAATATATATTTTCAGTACTAAGTTTGTACTACAATAGAATAATAGCATTTTGTGGGATGGGAGGAAGAGAAAGGAGAACTAAAAATGACCAAAACAGTGAACTGTAGTCTGTTTCTTTTCCAATACTATGTGAAATAGTTATCTTACAACACTGTTTTTTGCTGTAGTTAATTACTCACCTCAGAAAATTCATAGGCTGATTTATCCACTAGTTCCTTTTCAGCCCACACCAGTGTCCTTGGGCCAATCTTTCTGTTGAAAGTAAAAAAAAAATGCCAATAAGACAGTACGAACCAGAAATAATTCTATGTGAAACTAATACAGACAGCATACGTGTGACTGTGCTCTTGAGTAACCCACATTGCAGGGGAAACTCATTAGAGAATCTTTGTCTGCTTTTCCTCTCCATTGCTGAAGCAAAGGCTTAGAAAACAAAACAAACAACATGCATGCATTATTCAGCACAAAGGAACAGGAAAACCTCTTACGGATTTTTAAACACTATCAAGCCCTAATATAAAAACATTATTGTGGCCTAGATTAACACAACCTTTTGCCAATGAGAAATGAGGCTGAAGCAATACTTTTCTACCTTTGACAGAAAAGGTTTATCTGTTAATAGACAAGGCTTATCTGTTAACTAGGAAAGAAGATCTATTCCCTGTGCTAAATTTTAACCACTAAGGGCTTTTTCAGGTCCCAACTCTTTATGCTGTTTCTCTAATTTACAGCACAAGTAAAAATTATCCAAGAGCAAATCAACATACATGCACTTTGATACAAATACACAGGTTAACTGAATCTATAAGATCCTTTAAATTGAGGTTATTAATATTTATACATTGTACAGATTCACTCACCTACTTTCTAAGGCTCCAACCACTAAAGCAAACAAGTAGCAAGGTACAGGAACCTAGTGGAGAACATAAGAAAAATAAAGAAATCTTATTTGTAATGTCAGTTATCAGACATCAGAAGAAGAACAGAAGTATATAAATAAAGAAGTATTCCTCCAGAGTTTCCTGCCTTAAAGGCAGGCACTGTTTTTTTCAAAAACATTGTTCTTTCTTCCTGAATGATACTCCTATATCTACAGGATGTACTTGCTTCATAGGTGTTTCAGGCAAAACCCACAAAACTGTAAGTATCATCTCTGTTTGAAAAAATCTGCATACAAAATTCCTGCTGGTTTGGATTCTCTTCAAAAGCAAGTCAGTTTTCCATATTCATTTCAGTTCCATTAAATTTCATGGAAGGAGAAGTTATGAGATACTGCTCAGATAAAGGGCAGTTTTATCACACAGAAGGATGCAAAAAGAGCTTTAATGAAGTAAACAAGAATATTTATGGATATAAATACATTAAAGACAAAAGATTCAGGAAAAATCAAAATGTGTATATTTGATTTCCATGTTTAGAATTTAAAAAACTCTAAATATTTTTTATGTCAATGAAAAAAACTCCTAACTGAAGTATCTTTATAGAGAACTGCTTTTTCCAAGTGCTCTGGAAAGAAAAGAGGATCATACAGCCACCCATGTAAAAGTTTCACTTCATCTGAATTTAAACAATGTTAAATAAGTAAGACTTTAAATCATACTTAGCTGGAGACACAATTTCAGAAAATTTTATTCTACTATTATCCACAAAGCATTTAAATATTGTTTATTAAAATACCCATATCATCATCTGTGTTTTAATTTTACCTATTAACCCACAGAACATACTATTGAAAAGAACAAAGTCCCTTGACTTATGTTATAGATGAGTTAAGAAAAAACTATTAATACACCTCCACACTTTGACGCTCAACTTGCTAATTTGACATTTTGAAATTCAAATGTCAATGACTGTTGGGTTGTAAACCTGTTTTTACAGAGGTTGCTCTCCACTACCCTTCTTTCCAGCCTGGCTATGCAGGAGCAGAGAAAATAGTTTTAGGTAAGGCTCAGCACACACACATATGCAAGAGCTTGATGCATTTGCCTTTTTCATCTGAGGAAACAGACACCTCTTCTAACAAATCACTGTCAGCGTCAGGTGATGTGTGTGTCCTTTTGCATGTCTTCTTTCATTTTGTGCTTAATGTGTTTTTTTTTTTTAAGAAAAGCATGTTCTTTTAAAAAATAATGGTTTCTGTACCAGAAATGGTAGCATAATTTCAATTACACTAAATGTTATTTCTTGTATAGGTCTATCATGCTTATCAACAGTGTATTCCTAGATAACATTTATCTCTGGATTACACAAACATAGAAGTCTTCTGTACTGAGAGTGGCAAATGTTTTGGCTCCACAGAGAGGGCAGGGCACTGCCTACTGATGAGCTCACAGATAAGGGAACTCTTTTTTCCCCTCTCTCAGGTTTCATGCAGCAGCCAAATCAAACCCGACAGCTGCTGCAGCTCAGAGTACTCTGACCCCCTCCTCTCCTCCGGTCACATCATACCATTCCTCCTTGCAGTTATTCAGCGTCAACAGCCCAGATCTTGTGTTAATTTTATCTGCTTGTTCAGCAAAATGAACTGGGCTCACCAGAAGAGCTCATAAACACCAGAACCCAAAAAAGTGTGAGGACAAAAATGCCAGGAGAGTAAATCATGATTGCTGCTTTATGAGCAGTGGAATCGTTAGACTAGCTGCACCATTTACTAAAACTTCCAGAGAACAGTAATCTTTGATTGGCTGGAGATACTTTCTTTCCATAAAAACCAAAATTTTCACATTCAAAAAAAATTTTAAAAATTTGTTGTTAGAATTTGCCTAACTTCAAGCTAAAATTTTGTTCTGATGTTGAGTTTCACTGCTTAGATCTTGGTGAGCTTAAATTTTGCAGGGTCTGTTTTCCAAAACTTCCTCACATATTATTTGCATCTGCACTATTTTCTAAAAATCAGTGCAGACAGAAAGGGCTGTGACAGAACTAGTTTTGAGTATTGAAACATTTTCAAAACTTGAATTTGGCTTTTCTGTGAATGATTTTCTGTGAATGCCAAAAAAGACCAGTAAACAGCACCAGCACTTACTGGTTGTCTACTCAGGTGAATAATGCCTCCCACTTCTGGAGTGGCAAAAACCCATGTGAGTCACGAGATCTATCCGTGAGCTCAAAACCATGCCTGAGGCAGCTGTGAGCTGCACAGGTCAGCAGTAAGACCTCGTGCAGCCCTTGCCCAGCACGGAGCACTTACGTTCTGGCTGAAGCGGTAAACCTTGTGCGCGCTGTCCTCCGGGTCGGGCGCCTCCCCATCGCGGTTGGCGCTCATCAGAGCCACCAGCTCCTTCGGCACGGAAATCTGAAAGGACACCCAAGCACATTGCTCCAGATTGCAAGGCAAGATGTATTCTATTGCCATCTGTATGGCAGATTACCTTTGTCAAGTGGGCAGTTTGCCTTATCTCTCTCTCTGAGTGACCACAATCTCTCCTCCCTCCGGAGGGGACATTGCTGATAACAGGCTATTGAATGTCAGTGCATGACTGATAAGAACTGTAACATCCCATTGTGAGACGCTCCACTCAGAGGGAGGAGCCAAGCATTGCTACCCAGATATAATCCAGAGGTTCTGAAACACCAGCACGGCTTCTCCACTGGATTTCCCAGAGGAACAGCAGCTGCCTTTTCTTCCACTGGATCTTCAGAAGAAAAATACACCCTTTTCTAAAGGATCCCCTGCTTCAACAGAACCACACCTGACACTCCAGGAGGACTGCAGCCACATTTCCAATTGGACTGCTACCAACACCCTGACTAACAGGGTGTCAGGTTGAGTTCTGACTCTGTCAGTTTTAGTGTACTGCATTGTCTATTTTATCATTTTATTTTTTTCCTTTCCCTATTAAAGAACTGTTATTTCCTGCTCCCATATTTTTTTGCCTGAGAGCCCCTTAATTTAAAATTTACAGTAATTCAGAGGGGTGGGGAGGGTTTACATTCTCCATTTCAGGGGAGGCTCCTGCCTTCCTTAGCAGACTTCTGTCTTTCCAAACCTAGACACATAAACAATGCAGCTGCCACCCAGCATTACACTCCACACTACAAGCAGCTGATAGCAGAGCAGCCCAGATCTGTTCTGTTGTTAGGTCATCTCTGTCAAGTAGAACACAAGGCATATGGAAAAGGTTGTCATGAAGACAGGCAATATTGAATTAATCAGAGGACTACCTCCAACAGAAGTTAAAAGGCTCACTTTCTTCAGACAACTGAATTGTCACAGTGCACATCTATCCTCCTTTTTGCTTCCTTAAAACTGTTTACACCAGGACTGTCACAGACACATTTTATGAAAAATCCTTTCCTTAGGATTTTTTCTTATGAGAAGCTGAGAGGCCTCAGAAACTAAATGTAAACCATGATTATCTGCTGCTGTGGAAAGCAACAGGTGCATCTTTGATTGGTCTCATGTGGTCATTTCTAATTAATGGCCAATCACAGTCCAGCTGTCTCAGACTGTCTTGGTCAGTCACAAGATTTTATTATCATTCCATTATTTTTCTATTCCTTGCAAGCCTTCTGATGAAATCCTTTCCTCTATTCTTTTAGTATAGTTTTAATATAATATATATCATAAAATAATAAAGCAAGCCAATCAAGCCTTCCGAAACATGGAGTCAACATTCTTGTTCTCTTCTCTCTTCCTGGGACCCCTGTGAACACCACCACACAGGACTGCAAATATCCTCTAGCTATATATCAGAATATATTACTTTAAGCATACATGAGAGCCTTTTCAAGTGTTTTTTACTTCACAGCACTCTTTGCTGTCTTACCGTCAGCATTTCCTGATTTTAGAGCATCTTTCTTTCTTACTACTGCATTTTTACTTCCTTTTGCACATAGATACATAACAATGAAAAAAGAGTTGATATATACAAAAAGGAAATGGCAAAATTAGAGAGCTGCCACAGGGAAGATCAGCTCTTTCCTCTCACATTAAGGTGAAGGTGAATATTCTTGGTTTTATATCAGGCCACATGCTGGCAGCTACCAAAAAGCCCTGCCCAATATAAATCCACCCATTGTAGGAGCTGTCTTCAGTTAAGACACATGACTTAGGTTCACCTACCTCTGCATAGTAGGTTAGTTTGACAGCAGGTGTGTCTTGGCATGGAAAAATGGCTCTGCAGTGGATAGCCTAGAGAGGGAAAAAGGAAAAGAAAATAAAACAGAAGTGTCTTTCTGATGCAGAGGACTAGAAATAAATCAATTAGTACACTATAGTGCAAGTCCATACAGCTCCTCCAGAGAATTCATTATCTATAATCCAGTACTTCTATCACTTAGAGCTTACAGGCCTCTGTAAAAGGAGCAATACTAGGTAAGGCAGATCAATAGACACAAGTATTGCTTGTAAAGAACCATTTGTTCTTTAACAAGGATACTGGAATGGGTAAAGCACTTCCAGAATTACCAAACTGTAAACATATAATAAAATCTTAACAACATCCTGACTTTAAGTGTTTTCTTTTAGAACCTTTGACATACAGCTAGGAGTTACAGGCTACTGCTCTTCCCTTTTCTAGCCTTTCTCTGCAGTTCTTTAGAAACCAAGGGAAATTACAGTGGTATGTCAAGAAGTTTGGAAAAAATGAACTCAACCTGGCACTGGCTGAAGAGAAATGGGTGTTTCTTTCCAGAAGTTTGCTCTGGAGTAAACCACTGGAGAGCTGAAGACTGTGGAGAGCTTTCAAAAGAGATTTCAACAATTGCTTCTTGTCCCCTGTATAATAAAGAACACAGACTGTTTTGACACAAATCCTGATCACACTGAAATTCCTCTGCAAAGATGTCTGAAAAACAGGTCTGCAGCACTGTCTCAAAAGCATTAAAAATGAGAACAAGTATCATATTAAAAAGCAATAATTCCCTTTCAATTATGGTATTAAAAAATAGCTTATTTCATTTTTTACATCCCAAGGTACTTTTAATACTGTTTTTACTAACCAGAAACTTTTCCTCTTCTCTCTTCAAGGAGAGCACAGACCTTTTCTTTAAAATATTAGGGCCAGCTACATGTATATAGTTTTGTCACAGCTAAGTAACCTTGTACATGTATGTGTATTGCAGAGGGTTTTTTTCACTAAGAAAAAAGTGCAAAACCCTGCATAAGAAGATACATGACTTAATAACATAGAATAAGTATCCTGTACATAAAATTTTAGATTTTTGTATCTGACATTAATGTTCTGTAAGTATCATCCTTAAGAAGAAAATAACACCCTGAAAATTATCAGTAATTACAGAATCAATTCCTATTAATGGTAGAGGTTAACAAGAAAAAGAAATCATGTTCAGATTTTATTCAGGGTTTCAGAACTGGTGTTAAGTAAAAACTAACAGTTATGTGTAAGACAGGTATCAGTTTGCTAATGAGAAAACACACACCAACCTGACACTTTCATACTCTTATTTATTAAAAATGTATCTTAACCATCACTGACACCCAAAGCACATGGAAGCACTTGCTTCTGTTCTCAGAAAGTTCCAGATTATACATGCAACTCTTGGAATAAACAATCCAGCCATAAATCAGAACAAACTTCAGCTAATCAGAGGAGTTGGACACTAGATAAGCTGACCAGGTGTACTCATCTGGATTATAACCAGTATTCCAAAGTACATATTAGACAAGAAAAGAGAAAATAACTGGTATTACCATAAGGCACTTTGCTTTCTGATAATTCAGACTTCCAGCTGTAACTGCCACCCTTTCCTATTGCTGTTTTATTGATAGTTACGTGGGGGACTATGTCTCACACTAGATTGTGAATTCTTGTGGTCACACCTCATACCTCCTTCTTTTTTTTTCTTACCAGGAAATTCAGGATTTAAAAAAAAGGCAGCTGAAAGTCAAATGAAAGAAACAGGCTTATATTTCTGATGTGGCCTGTTTGCTCAAGTACTTAATTTTCAATTATTTGAAGTACTTAATGTTCAATTTCGTAGGAAACCAGAAGTGTTTCTCCAGAAGGGACAACTATTTTATGACATTCCTTTCTCTTCCTCATTATTTGTATTTCTCAACTGCACTAATTCACAGTACAACATTAAAAAGAAAAAAACTTTTCTCAGGAAACCAGACTAAACTGAAAGGGTTTTTAGAGGTAGCAATGAGTCGTAAAACCACACAATAATAAGTAAGAAGCAACTTGATATTCAAGTGTATTCAAACAAGGGAACTTCCTTATACAATCACAGCTTTCAGCTTTGGCACTATGGAGGACTGAGATACCACTGAGTCACAACATACAAAGCAAACTGCCAAAAAACATATTGTAATTTGGCAACAGCTTTTTAATTCATGAACATTAAGAGGTAGACCATGGTTAGTTCACTCTCCATCATGCTGCCAAAACTCAAGTTCCAGCTTTCAGGGACTTGGACTTAGCATAGCAAACAAAATAAAACTTTGATTATTTGAAAACATGCTCCTATCTAATCATAGTGGTGACCTGAGGTTCTACAGAAATGCAGAACCAGCTGCATAAAAGAAGATCCAACAGGGGCTGCTGCTCCTTGTGCTCCACACTGTAACAATTCAGAACCAGGCAAGCAGAAACAGTATTACTGATTAGAAACACTGGGAAAATTGTGATACATTTCACATCATTCTGCTACTCAGTCTAGAAAGTAATTTTGTACGTGATACAAGGTCTGGGACAGGTACAAACACTCAGAAAGTTTTGACTAATGAAAGCCAAACATGACATTAATCTACAAGATCATACCAAACAAATGCAATACCCTGATTCTAATTTATAAGTCTCTTTGCAAGCTTTACTCAGCAACCCTACAGGCAGACAAGCAGCTTATACAGTGCATTTTCAAAACCACCCAGAGGAGCAGGCAAAAGTGTGTACCTTCTTAGTTCATTTGGAAACGTGATTTCTAGAGGGGTCCCCTTGAAACTGTGCTTTTCTCCAAAAGCAAATTGTGCATCCTGTCCATTTACAGTCACTTTAAACACCTGTACATCTTTTGTATCCAGGACCTGTGATAAAGAACATATTGCATACCAGTTAAATAGCATAAAATAATAAATGCAGCACTATGAAATCTTAAACACAAGTCCCTCTGAAGGAAAAAGTATTTTCTAAGTAAAACCAGAAAAGCTGACTAACTGCGTTGACCACCAGGAACCAGCATTTTAAGAGAGCAGCACTGAACTGGGAAAGCTGGAGGGAAAAGAGAAAGAAAACCAACTTCTGACCATAGAAGTGAGTTTATCAAGAAAAACTACAGAGGTAAGCACTCCACAGTACTGCTATGAAGTGAGGAGAACGGTATAAAAGCCCCTGCTAAGGCTTCAGTCCTGGAACACGCCACTGTGAATCCAGACCTTCATGCAATGGAAGGTGAATTAAATAGTGCAGCACTCATTTTTAGCACGAACGAGGCGTTACTCTTTATTACTAATAGGACTGGGCTTTTACCCTACAAAAATAAGCTCCAGCCACAAAAGAATTTTATGGAGTCAGCATGAGAAAAGCCCCGAACTTCGAATATAATGCGAAGTTTAAGAGGTTCACATGCCTATATGGAGAGGTAACAGAGAAAGCAGCTGGCATAACGAAACACACAGGCGAAAAAGCCTAAATCTAGATTTCCACTGATTTATTCCTATCTTTTCGGCAGCATGCTCTTCGCCGCTTTAAAGGGAAGAGCCAGCCTCGCCCTTCCCTTGCGCACCGCGCCGGCTCTGGGGGGCTAAGCGGAACCGGGGGCTGCGAGGCGCTGTCAGCCTCCAGCCGAGCAGCAGCCAGGGGCGGCGGGTCCGGGGAGGGCCAAGCGGCGGCAGGGAAGGAAGGAAAGGAAGGACCGGGACGACGGCCGAGGGAAAGACGGGGGAGCGGGAAGGACGGGTGAGCGGGAAGGACGGGGGAGCGGGAAGGCGGCACCGGCGCGGGCTCCGGGCTCGCCCCTCACGGTCCGCGGGTCCCCTCGCGCCCCCCGCCCCCTCCCCCGCCGTTACCAGGCAGCGCAGCGCCTCGCGCTCCGCGCGCGCGGTGAGGGCGGCCGTGCCCCGCAGCACCCGCGCGCTGAAGTCCGCGCGGCAGCGCAGGTGGAGGTGCCGCGTGAGGCAGCACGCGGGGGACGCGAAGGAGCTCGGGTCCGCCATCGCTCGCGCGCCGTATGCCCGCCCTGCCCGGCCGTGCCAGCCCGTGCAGCACAGAGCCCGCCGCGGAGAGCGGAGGGGAGGCCCCTGGGAGGTGTAGTGCCGCCCTCCGCGCGGAGAGGGCGGGGGAACGGCGTGAGAACTACAAAACCCACAATGCATTGCGAGAGAAAAGGGGCGGAGGAGCCCTACAGAACTGAACAGTATGATTGGGTGTCGCTAGAATGCGAGAGATTAAACAGAATATGAGCTCTACTGGAGGAGCCGTGAATGTACAGTTCCTCGTTAGTATAGTGGTAAGTATCCCCGCCTGTCACGCGGGAGACCGGGGTTCGATTCCCCGACGGGGAGGTACGAAGTATTTTTTTCTCTAGTTGCCCTTAATGTAAAGGCAAAATCATTTTGGTAAATAAAATCTGTTCCCAGACAGCCGTAGTAAAACCGTTCCGACTCTGAAACAGGGAGAACAGAGCAAAACCTATCCGGATCTGGCTGCCTACCTGCTCCAGGGCTGAGGTAGTGTCAGAGTCTCACAAGATCAGCTGCAGAACTGAGAGCAGGCACAGGAAAAGTATTTTCATATTTTAGTGGCTCAAACAGCTGAACAAAAGAGTTAAACCTTTCAAAAACGTTTACCCTTTTTCTTAAACTGGAAAAAACCTAACTCACCCTCAACTGAGTCAGAAACAATGGGAAGGGGACAGGTCAAACAGGCACAGAAGAGGGAAGGTGGAAGGCCAGAGGCCATGGCCTGGCTTGCAGTAACACAGCCTGGCACAGTCCTTAAAGTGAGAATTTCAGCCATTGGAAAGCCCTGAGACTTCACTGGATCCTGCCCAGAGCACACTTATGTGCACCAGCTAAGAGTAGTTCGCAGAACAGCTGTGAGACTCCAGCATCCCTGCTTACCTTTACTTAGTATCACTGAAAATGCTTGTTAGGCACCCCCTCTTTTTTAATCCTTTTGCCAGAAATTTATTTATCTATCTATTTATAACACAGTTCAGCACAAAGGTACTAGGAGAGGTCTCCTCCTGTCTGTGGGAGGTTAGCAGATGCTAAGCAGTAAATATGATTGCCCAAATTTCTCTTTTTCCAAGTCAGGAAATAGTTCTGTGGCCAATTGCACATAAAAGGAGCAAGGAATTAGGACCCAAGGCAAAAGGCCAAGACACCCAGCTGTGAGGCTGCATGTTACTGGTGTTCAGAGCAGGAGGCTGGTGAGCCCTGCTCTGGCCCTGGCTTTGTGCATTCTGGCAGTTTCAGTAAAACTAATTTGATGCCCTATCTACTGAAAGTAGATAGTTCTGTACCATGAGCAACCTTGCATCAGCCACCCAACCAGCAGCAAGCACCCAAGGGAGAATATACACAAGAGAAATTTTCTCTGTGTAATAAGAGCTAAGAGACAACTTGACAGAAAAGTTCGGCAACAAAGGGAATTACTCTTAACACAGCATTGCTGGAAACCATGGCCATGTAATTTCAGATGCAGAATCTAACCCCTGTCACCCTCAGAAATTGGTTTCCACCCCTTCAGCCCTAGTGTGGACAGCCATGGGAGCAGCACACCAAGAGCTGTGGGAGCTGAGGGCACAGGAGGAACGCCAGGCTTGATGTACTGTGCAAGACCAAGAGATGGTTTCTCTGTGGGCTCATAAGCTGATGGCAAAGCCCATGAGCCCCTCAAGAGCATCCCACCACCCCAGCTGTCCCACCTGGATGTGAATCTGAGATGGCAATGTGAGGAGTACATGAAGAAGAGGGGATGTGAGCACCATCCACAGTGATACCCTGGAGCTTTGTATAAACTCCTAGACTACAGCCACATGCCCAGACAAACTAGGGCAGGACTAGGAAGGAGTTTCAGTAGGTCTGTATTATAGAAGGGAGAAAAAATAACCATAAAACTTTCCCTTTCGTGACTTCTGAATTTCCTGCCACACTCACTTCCCGTTCTCAAAATCCACATATATATGTCATCAGAAAATCAAGGGAACTTAATTTGTTTAGTAGGCAGTTTATTTCAAAACAGAGGTCAGACCATAAAATAAAATAAGATGCAAGAACCATTTAGTTGTTCACGTGTGCTGGCATCCAGTCAGGCAATTTCAGCTGTCATAAAACAATAAAGGATAAGAAAAGCAATTAATTCAAAACAGAACTCTGCTGACAGTGTTTTTAGTCATAAAAAAAAGTCTTGTAAGCAATTTCATACCTGCTTAGTCGTGGTTCTTGTTTTCAGATTTAGCTTTCACAGTGCTCAAGCCACTACCCAAGAGGCAAAGTTTTGCTGTAAACCCACAGCTTCTAAAGTCCCAGAAAGGCACTCTCATTGGTGCATGGGAAAAGGTGAAAGGAAGAAGAACAAGGAGCTCAGGGCACTGAGCAGGGTTTTACAAGGTCAGCCTCTCTCCACCTGCAGGGTACTTTGTTCTCACCCAAGTCATCCAGGTCAGCTCAACCTCTTTCCCTTCTCCTGTGCTACCAAATCCTTCCCCCACACCCGCACGCACGCTCTCCAGCTGGCAGCGGGGAGCCAGGACAGCTGGAATGCCAGCACGGTGTTGTTGTTCTCCAGCTGGAGCCAGGACAGCTGGAATGCCAGCAAGCCCAGACACACCTGCCCACAGGTTTCAGACCTTCCTGAGAATGTGAGTGCAGTTCAGAATGGCTTCCTCATGGGCTGTATCCACAGGAGGCACAAGGTGAGGGATCCCTTGGATGGAAGACTTTCACAGTTGTTTGCAGGAGCACAATTTGAATGAGCACTAGTGAAATCTGGAGGAGCAAACAATTCAGTATTGAGAGTAGAATTCTTTCTCCGATGCCTCTTTAATTATCTACACACAGCTTTAACCTTCATCTCTTTTGATGCTTCTAATCCTCCCACTTACCTGCCATCGTGTATGTGTGATTTATCACCCTCAATTTATCCAAAGCTCATGGAGAGCTTTGATGCTTCTAATCCTCCCACTTACCTGCCATTGTGTATGTGTTGAGGATTTATCACCCTCACTTTATCCAAAGCTCATGGAGAGCCAGTATTATGGCTGGTCAGTGGCCAAACCAGCAAGACAAGAGCAAGTTGGAGAGCAAATTACCAGTTCCAGTCTTGCCAAATACATAGGCTGGTAGCAAAACAACACTGTGGGCTGGAGTGTCAGCGAAAGCATGATAATGGAATCTTGCTAAAGCATCTGTTTGAAATGTGTTCAAGCCCTGGGGACTGTGTAATTTCTAGCATTTTGTCCTCTGAGGTTTGTATTCATAGGTGTATTTAACTAAGCGCATTTTATGTACCCTTAACTCTGCCAAATATTTCAATTAACCTTTTTCAAGGTGATTTTTTGAAAAGCAAAATATTGCTTGCAAATGTTAAAAGACCGCTTTATGTCATTAGTAATGACGAAACAAAAACTTAGGAGAACTGAGTATCCTGGAAGTTTTATATTGGTGATTACTCTAAGGACAAGGAAAAGAAGATAGGACCCTTTCTCAAACTTAATCACTTACGTTAATTGCATATCACTTGGAAGTAAACTAATTGGTAAGTAGGGAAATAAGGAAGAACAGATCAGAAAATGTCACTATAAATGCTCATCAAGAGGTAATAGCAGAAACAGACAATGACAAATTGTTTGCAAGCTTTCTTGCAGGTCAGGACATCCAAAGCAAACTTGATGAAAAGGCCATTTAGGAGGATATAAGCCCTTTACTCCACCTTGTTTCTTCTACAGAGACTCCCAGTGCTAAACCTTCTGGCTGCTAAGAGAAGAGGGGAATCTTGGCCCCTCAGAAGGTGCTGAAACACTTTGCAACAGTAGCTGCTGAGCAGGGTGAACCAAGGGATTATATAAATAAGATAAGCCGTGTAAAAGAATTTATTCTTCATTGGAAAAGTTTTGGCTTGTCATCATTAGTATCCACAAACTGTTGGCTCCAAGAACCCAAATTTGCTCTGCAATCTTCTCTCTCCACTGAGGAGTCTGGCTCTGGCCAGCTCTGTGATGGTGCCGGCCTTGGATCAGCTCCTGGGAAAAGAGCTGTGTGAGGATGACAGCTGGGCCATGGCTGTCCCCAGGCTCTGCTGCCATCCCTGTCCCCTCACCATGTGCAGGTGCTGAGGTCTGTGCCCTTGCTGGTGGCAGCCTGGCCCCAGTGCCCCCAGTGCCCACTCCTGCAGCTCCCTGGCACACAAACAATCACAGAGCAGCATGTGGGGCTGTGAACGCAGAATGCCACCAAGGAGCTGGCACTTGAGCCCTCTCATTGAGAATTTCCAGTGTCTTCACACAGGTCTGGGCATTCAGGTGCTGCATGTTCCTGCAGATCCACTTGGGTCACTGGAACAACAACAATATAAACTGGGTGGGATGCTGACCCACCTGTCAACTAAAGTATACCCAGGCCACCATCAGGCATTCAACCCCAATGCATTGTGGTTTCATGGCTCCTCTAGACTACCTGGAATTTTCCCATTTCTTCATTTGCTTACAAGAAGGGCACATTAGATGCCCAGTTTTTCTCCAGTAGCTCTTAACACTTGAGCATAAGGATGTACAAGGAGCTGTTCTGTTTTGTACGTGAATGACCATTAATGGATCCAGTTTCCTGGGACATATAGATGGAAAATACTTTAAAGCAATATTTTAGTAGTAATTTATTCTCCATTTATTTATTTTTTACACTGCTTGAGAATGTCCATTCTATTTCTTTTCTTTTTCCTGAGCAAGATAGTTCCTCAGTGCTGTCTTCTTTGTAGAAGTGATCGAACACTACATACAGTTCTATCTCTACCTGTCAGATGGTCTGTTAAATATAATTTCCATGTTGCTAGATATGCACACAGATTATACCACCAGAAAAATTAGTTTCTGCTATTAGACTATGTTTTCTAGGACATGTTTAAGCTACTGGAGAGATCTGATGTGCAGATTCACTCATTATTTCAAAAGGAAAGCATCCAAAAATCACAATACTAATTTGATAACATTAACCTACAACTTTG